TGTAAAACTGAAAGCTATTAACTGGCCATGGAGTCTCACACCTGTGGTCTCAGCTGCTCAGGAGGCTGAGGTGGGAGAATGGCTGGAGCCCAAGAGTTTGAGGCCAGCCTGGTAACACAGTGAGATCCCAATATAGTGAGACAACAAGTTCTAAAATCTATTGACATAATAGTGAAGACTTTCTGGATATGAAAAAAAAAAGAGTGAAATTAGTAAAAAGGTATCAGGCACCCAGAAAGAATATTTGTGTCATCAACAGGAGAAAAATACCTGCTGCCTTTAGACTTTTCATGACAATGTTCAGTACTAACATTTACTAAAGGAGTTCAAAATTCTGAGGAATTAACCATTAATAATTCTCCCCACAAAAAAATAAAATCAACAAATACTCTCAACATCAAATGTCTCATAAATTTAAAAAAATCAAAACAAACTAATTAAAAACAAAATGCACATAAGCAAGGAGCGATTGAATAATGAACTGAGGATGGAGTAGCCATAATAAGTAGAGGACTAGTGATGGAACCTGCAGTCCTGTCTATGTAGAGGGAAGACCAAAGTGCTGCTGCAAGAAAAGTTGCACAACAGAATGTAAATATTATGAACTCTGAGGAAGTTAAAATGCTATAATTATCAAAAAACCGAAAGTGAAGAGGGATGAGGACAAATTGGAGAGGAGCTAATCACCTCAAATTACGCTGCAGGGAGTTAACAAATGTTGTCTGAAATTGAAACATGAAGCTATTCAATCTGGCTTCCTAATGGTATTCAAAATCTTTTATTCTTGACCATAAAAGCACAATTAAAAAAATTGGTGGTAAAGGTATATTTACATTTAGCCATTTCAATGTATTTCAGATTATTTTTCTTCTACTAAATTATGCATAATAGGTTAATTATAAATAGTATGTACAAGTCTATATATACTCTTTATTCTTTTATTTGTGCAGGAATATAATTACATAGCTATGATGATGTTGACCAGATGTAAGGTTTCATTTTCTTTAGTGTAAAGATTTTGGAGACACTTTTGTTGTTTTGTACATGAACCAGAAGCCATCACTGTAAAATCATAAATGTCTCCCATATAAACATTTAAATGTAAAATGATAATGATGAATAAAATAAGTATGGAAGGCTTCACATGTCTATTTGTATGAAATGGGTTAAATGGGAGAAAGAAAACCTGCACAGAGATTTTCCATGGTATCTGAAAGAGACAGGTAAGGAAATTAACATGCTGTGTAAGCAGAAAAGATTTACTATGCTAGTCTGGCCCCATGGCTTTGTCTCTGAACCCTATAAAAAAGAATTGTATATACAATATGCAAAACTGGTTGTAAAAAAGAACCAAGTTTGCATCACACAGCTCTGAAGCCAGAGAAATGAACATAAGAAGAGTGGATCCTTGCTCACAGTTTGCTAATACAGCAGGACTAAGAACTCAGGACTTCTTCATTTTGCTGTTGAGGTACTTGAATTGGAATTATCTCTTAGTAGTTCCTTGGGTATTATTATCAACCTGTCATTCAGAACACTGTGATCAGTGGCAGGTAAGGTATCAATTTAACTAATAATCCTTAAACTGGAAAAAATAAACAAAAATAGAGGACAGATAAGTTTGGTGATACTTAACAGGATTCTAGAGAATCACACGATATGAATCTGGCTGCTAAGAATCAGTGAAATGTATGAAAGAGCTTCCCATTAATAACCTGGATTCATGATACCTTAGGAAACATACTCCAATTACATTTAAAGAAAATGAGTCTGCTAATTACATCTTGAGTTTCTGATATTCAAAAATTTTGTCCTGATGTTAGCCCATGTGCCCTGAAGACTGGGGCAGAATGTAATCATTGCCATCATTTATATAAGGCAGCCCAAATTCTACATCCTTTGTGTCTTTTCTGTTTGAAGAAAATTACGCATTTCATTTCAGTGATATTCAGTGCACAATTCTTTTGTAACAGTAATGATATTAATTTTGAGAGAGGCATTGAATTTCAAGATGTGTTTGGGGTAGACTACACTACATTTTGTGTGTGTGTGTGTGTGTGTGTGTGTTATGGACTGTTTTGATAAGCCAGTTAGAAAAGGTTGATTTTGAAAAGGATGAAGATTGTAAACTGCTATAGGTGTAATAGAACTTCAAATAAGTATGACCATTTTTGGTGGTGGTTTTAGGGAAGTCATTTAGCTTAAAGAGTAGATTCAGGTGACAAGATGTGTGTTTATGGGCAACTGCACTTTTATGCAGCAGAAATCTCTTATCACTTTTCCATGTGTATGATTAAATATCTAAATAACCAAAAAGTAACTTTAAGTAAGAAAACGATATTTGTCAGAGTGGAGTACTGGCTAAATAAAAAGAAGGCAACCGGCTGTCATTAACAGGGTAGAAATATAGGCATATCAATATTGTACAAAGTAGTAGTTTCTCTCAGCTAAATTGAATATTTATAAATACCATTTAAATTTAATACATTTTTCTACCTGAAAACCACTGGATTTTTGAAATTTTATCATAAACAGAATACATAAAAATATAAGGGAGATTGATAGGTGTACCTGATTTTTTAAAATAAACAATCTCATTTCTCCTAGGATTACTGAAATTTTTCTGTTTTTTCTTAACCTAAGAATTAAGAATTTTGAGAAATTTTATCAATTCCATTTTAGTAATGAGAAAATAACATCTGAGAGAAATCGTGCCTGTTTTTTTGAAATAGCAAAATATTCTTTGCAGCAAGAATGAACCACAGCACACATTCACCCACAAGTGAATTGTAATGTGGGGATTGGGTATAAAATACAGATTGTCTCTTTCTTTTTCCTTTATTTACTTATTGTTGCTGTGTGTGAATGTATAGCAACGTTTCCCAAGGGATAAATGAGTTTCCTTTTACTTCTGTTCTTCAAACCAGACTTCTACCTCTTATGCTTTACCATGCTTCCACCCTACTGGGAGGCAAACAGCAATGAGAGGAGACAAAGGAAAGAAGCCACAGGGCTGAGGATGTGAGAGGGAGCTCGCAGTTCTCAATCAATGCAGTAGGCTTTGGAAATGCTTGTGAACTTGAGATAAGCTCATCCCAGGCATGAAGATTAGGAAACCCATCTGCCATCACCTCACACTTTAATGGAAAAAATTAGTGGACCTTATCTTATTTCCTCCATAGAATTGAGACTCATTCTTGTTTCCAGTTAGAACACCTGTTGTTATACTCCCCCAAATTCCCCTGCTCAGAAGACAAATTGCATGACCCTCCCATTGGCAGAGACCTTCACAATCTTTCTTTAAGTTGGGTTGCCAGACGGACACTAAAACTTAGCCTAAATGACTTAGAGAAACTCTTCTTTGCTATTCCTGGACTTGTCAACAGAATGAATTTTCAAAAAAGTTTGTGGCCTGGTATGTTGGCACTCTTGTAATCCCAGCAGCTCCGGAGGCTGAGACAGGAGGATTGCAAGTTCAAAGCCAGCCTCATCAAAGGCAAGGTGCTAAGTAAGTGATACTCTGTCTCTAAATAAAAATACAAAATAAGGCTAGGGATGTGGCTCAATGATCCTGTGCTGCTGAGTTCAATCCCCCGGGAACTGTCCCCCCACCCATCAAAAAAAAAAAAAAGTTTCTGCCTGAAATTATTCCCTCCTCCTTCCTAGATTAAGTAATTTCTTGATTTCCACACATAAAAATTTTTACTTTTTTCAAATACTAAACAACTTAAAGTGACAACAACCAAAAAAAGCATAGTGAAAATAGTTGTGAATGGTGGTGGCTTTCAATTAAGGAAACATATTGATATATGCAAACATGAGATTTTCTTCCAAATTTTCCTAGAATCAAAATGAAGAAGTATTCTGGGTGAAGTTTTTAAGTTTAATTATTTTTAAAAGTTTAACCATGAAAGGCAAGTGTTCAGACATGTGTCTCTTGATTTACATGGGACTAAACTTTGGAAAATATTATCAAAATAAAATTCCAGTACCTAGAGTGCAATCATATAGTATATTAGTGAAGCTCTATCATTTCACATTATAAAAAAAGTCATTTAATATAACTATCATAATTAAAAGTTATATGAAAGTTGATCCTTTGATCTCATTTCAGTTTGGTAATAAGGGAAAAAATAGCTTCAAGTCAATTATTCAAATTATGTTTTCCTATATAGTCTATTTGCTAATGTATCATATTGGCAATATTAAAATATTATTTTAATCTTAAATAGATTTTCATATTTATGAAAGATTAATATTTTTCTGACTTGTATATAACAAACTTTCTTTATTTCTCTCTCACTAAATATATTTCCACATATATACACATACCCCAGATATTTGTTTAATAGATTTGGAAGATTTTAATGTACCTGAAAATAGTTACTATCTTCTAAGAGGAATCACACTTAAGCCAAAATAAACAATAACTAAGCTACAATCTTGATGTTTTTAGCATGCTGCTAAATGATAAAATACATATAGAACACACACACACACACACACACACACACTCTCTCTCTCTCTCTCTCAAAGGACAAATATTCTGACTTGATTGAAATAAGGTACATCCAGAAATAAATTTAATTTCCAAATAAAAACTCCTGGTCATCTCTTTTAGCAAATACATGTCTATTAAAGCTGAAAACATATATGGTATATTCAATTGAAATCATTAATGTGACTCAGCACTTTTTGCAAAAATTATTCAACACATATCAAATGCCCCCTTTATATTTACTATGTGTATTTATATCTCACAGTGAAAATAGAGGGGCAAATTTTATAGACTAACAAAAGCAGCACTGCATTTCAATTCATTTGTCAGTTTGAAACTAACCTTCACTGTTTTTCAATTGTCTCACAGTTTTAACTTTAATAGGTCTTTAGCTAATGAAAACTGATACATAAGGAGATAAGGGAATTCTATGCTCCTATTTCAAGCTAAAACATAAGCTCTAAATTATCTTTTACAGTAAGCCAAAGCCAGTATCACATACCTTTCGGGAATGAATTTCTTTCACATACAATGGAAGTAGAAACTCAGATATACCTTCAAGTCGGATTCCCTTCTTGGTGACTCTCAGATTTCCCATACCATCCTACAAGCAATGAAATATAGTTCACTTTTAGGTTAATTAGAGGATGAAATATCTGGCCACAATTTTCTTAGGCCTAAATGGAGGAAACAGTGAGTTCAAATCAGTGATGCTTTAAGGAAAATGAGAGACTGAATCTACTCAATGAATGATTGCAGCACTTTGCATACATACAGAGGGCTCTATTTAAAATGAACAGGAAACAGGATTATAAAGACCTGGTGTTTACTCCTAGCTCTGTCAGAGACCAGGATTTACCTATGAACAAATCAACTAATTTCTTCATGCATTAGTTCAATTATAAATTAGGTAAAATGATACTTGGAAACAACTTTTCAGAAAGTTCAGAAAATATTGTGACAAGTATACAACTAATTCTATAATATTCAAAGAGTCTCATTTGCATACTAATATTTTAACTGATGTTCCAGCACTGAAACCATGAATAAACACATATCCTATACTTTAGAAAGAGAAGGAGAAAATGAATACACAAATGTATTGATGAGATGGAACAAAGTCAGTAAAATCAGAGCACTATTGGGAATTAAAGAAAGATTTCATGATTGGTAAGAGAGTAAACCATTTATCATGGAAGACAGTGATTGATATAGGCCTTGGAAATGGGGAAAATTTTAACAGGGGAGGTCTATGAAAAGTAGAACAGAATGAAAATGTTGTTACCATTTAGGAAAAAAGCATGCTGTTGGATCCAAATAATGCATGGTTTTCCCACTTTTGACTATTGGAGGAGAATATGTTTGGGGGCCAGAGAAAGAAAAGCCATGAATGCAAAGCCTAAGACAGATTCTAAGAGAAGAAATGCAAAAGGTACTTAAATAGCTTAATGGCTTGAAATGATTGGAGTTAAGCTTCAAGAAGACTAATGAGGCTGAAATACTGCACAGGGTTATCTATTGAAGTCAGTAATAAGGCACAATGTGGTAATAATTTCGAAGAATACGATAGAAGAACAATCTGCAGCCTTGATAAGTAATTTTATCTGGTGACAGTGAAAAGAGGAATATTTACGATTAAATCAAGGTTTCATGACTCTGAGTGATTAAGGAAATTTAGTGATTTTCTAAAAATTGGAATAGTGGAATAGTTCAAGGCCAGAACTAAGTTTAGCTTTGGACTTTCCAGCTTTGAGATATCTTTGCAAAATTTAGATATCACCCAGCATCCCTATAGAAAGTAGATTGGGAATGCTAGTTGCTTAAGGCATACTAAAATCCTTCATGAGGATAAGCAAGTTCCATGTGGCAAGATGTATATCAAAGCAAAGAGAAATTCCTGGGGAAAGACTTGTTCTGTGGCTTGGGAAGAGGTGTTCCATACTTTCACGGAAGTTTAAATCAGAATAAAAGGAAATGGGTGACTATGACTATCTCACCTGGTACCCCTCATCCCCACTGCCAAAAAAAAAAATTCAATGAGGTAGTATAACATGAAGGTGTTGCTGACAGAAAATATTTATGCAGAAAAGATTTGGTGATGGAAAAATGAAAAGAGACAGAGAAAGAGAAACAAATAGAGGAAAAAAAAGATTATGAAGTGGTGGGGTCTCACTCTTTCCTGAGAAGAAGAAAATAATAGATTCAGTGGAATTAAACTTGAAGGCAATATAAAGGAATTAGTTTCTTGAGGCAAGTGAAGAAGTTTCAAGGTGACACAAGAAATGTCTAGTAGGTGACCAACCTAACAGAAACACATATGAGAATTTCAAGCAGTACTGAAGGTTTAACTTTGATGAGAAAACATGTATGCTTTTGTTCGAAAGATGACTTCTCTGAGACAGAGCTGGTTTGCAGAAGTTTTATAGTATCATTGTTCACTTATGAAAATGAAAAGTACCCCTGATTAAATGACATGGTGACTCTTTTACTTGCTCTAATTAGTGAGTTTTTGCGAGATTATGCCCATCTACAAAATAGAAAATGGCAGAATTAACAGTGAGAAAGACTCAAAATGAAGATTTATTAACCCAGAAGGTCAGAAAGTCATAAGGAGGTGAACTTCTAAAGTAGTGAGAAATGATCCTCCTCAAATGACTGGCCATTACTTTCCTCATCAGGTAGCAAGCAACAAGTAACAGCTGTGTTGGGCTGCAAAAATAGAAAAGAGCCAAAGAATAGTACATGGTGATATTTATGATCAGATTCAATAGAAGTTAAGAAATCTGAGAACTGTTAATAAAAGTTTATCATCTTCAGAAAATGGAACTTTGGATTTTGAGATCTGGAAGGTGAGAAATTTTCCAGAGATAATAAGGCCTAAAGAAGACCCAAGCAGTTGTGGCAGGCACAGACTAAGTGCAGAATTCTCAGGGAATTCAGAAAGCCAAGAAAAAATGTATGTTTGTGTATATACACACATATACATATGCTCACATACATATACATATATAACATATGTATACACACATATATGTATATACAAACGTGTGTTTATATAATCTATAATATGATGTGGCTTGAAAAAATTATTTGATCACAGAAGGATTTTCTATAATTAAATCTCACACAGTGACTGTCCATATGTAATCTCAAAAGCCTGCTGGAAGGAGGAAGTGTTCTTAAATTGTCCTCACTGAGTTTCTATGGAAATACCCAGTGTTATTATTAAATTATCTCAGGGCAATAGAAACAAATGCTATCACAAATGAAATTCCCTTTTCAATATTAGTCTTAAAAATGCTTCAATAAGCTGATCATCAATAAGATAATTGGGCATCCAAAGTTAAATGTGATACTGTTTATGCTATATGCATATTTAACTTGGGAATGTCTTCAGTCTCAAGCTAAGTAAAATGTCTTCTTCCATTTGCTACATAATATATGATTTAAGTTGCATAAATAATTGTATTTCATTAGGTAAAAGAGAATTCCCCTGCACAAGTGTAAGACTGTTGTTATGATAATATAATCTAACCTGGTTTATTTGTCTGTATTTGTATCATTTCTCTTGCTTTCGATGAAGGAAAGATTTCCAAAAATTTCCATATTATCTAAATGCAGTTGTAAAATACATAACAAATATGTGTGTGTGTGTGTGTGTGTGTGTGTGTGTATAACTAACTCAATCTTCACATGCATGTATAAAGTCCACTGATAATTTATGAGATGATGAAATAATTCAGTGTGCTGTTTACAGGAACACCAAGAAGTGATTTTATTTTTATAGTCACTATATCTTCCTCATCGACTGTCTCTTGGTCCTATCTGAAAATAATTTCTGAATTTTCTATTAAGAACAACATTGCCAAAATACCACAAGATAACAGAATCTGACATGGGTTTGTCTCAAGCCTATCTTGGTTTGACAACTTCTTTTTATAATCTTGACTAACTAATATTGGTGATTCAAATTTTGTCTTCTACAAATGGAATAATCTGGAGCAGTAGCTCTAATCCAGCCACTGGGGAGGCTGAGGAAAGTAAAACACATAAATTCAAGGCCAGCCTGGGCAACTTAGTGAGACCCTATCTCAAAATAAATTTAAAAAGGGGTAGGGAATGTAGCTCAATAGTAGAGGCCTCTGGATTCACTCTCTAGGACATAAAAAAAGATAAAACAAATTATAACAGAATTTATTTGTTTATTGCAGGATTATTTGAGAGGACGTACAAAGCTTAAAACAGTGCCTAATTTATGTGGATATACTTAATAGTTTTAACAATTATTGTTAAATTTAATAATTATTTAACAATGTTAATAATAACAATTATTAGACTGGGGTTGTGGCTCAGAGGAAGAGCACTCACCTAGCATGCGTGAGGCACTGGGTTCGATCCTCAGCACCACATAAAAACAAAATAAAGGTATTCTGTGCACCTACAACTAAAAAATAAATGTTGAAAAAATAATAACAATTATCAATATTTTATTTAAAAGTTTTAATTTTGTCTCATGATAAAAATACATATTTTTTAATATCCAGAGGGCTTATCATTCAACTGCAGGATAGTCTACATCAAATTTTATTACCATTAGAATTATGATGTTTTTATTCATTTTTCATAATCTCATGTTAGTACAGTCTGAATGTGTTCCCTCCAAAATTTGGAATTTTACAGTCTATGTGCTAGTGTGGTTAAATAAACTTTAAGAAGTGATTTGGCCATGAGAGGCTCCTCTCTTGTGAATGAGACTAAAGAACTTGATAAGAGTGGCAAGAGAAGCTTTTCTGTCAATGCTATGTGAGGACACTGTGTTCCTCTCCTTTTAAGGACTTATCCAGGTACCATCTTGGAAGCAGAGAAGTCCTAACCAGACAAGTGAACCTGCTGGCACCTGTATTTTAAACTATGAGAGAAGAAATTTCAGTTTTTCATAAATTAGCAAATGTCGGGTATTTTGTTATAGCAACACAAACAAACGAACTAAAGATGCTTGCCACTTATTTACTTTCAACCGACAGTGTAGAATCATTTTGGAAAGGGTTGTAGAGTCAGAGTTTGAAACTTGATTTTACTACTTACTGTTGATTTTCACATAGTGTTAAATCTATCTAAAACTAAATAAGTTTTATGAAAATATCAGAAAAATGATGATATTCCTCATGGGGATATTTATAATAATTAACTGAGCTAGACTACGAATTGCTCAGTATTAGGCCTGTTATATATTTTTTCTTTTGTTTTTATTTTTTATTTGTTATAATTAGTTATACAGACAATAGAATGCACTTTACTCAATTTCTCATTCTTTTGGTTGTACATGATGTAGAATCACACCAGTTGTGTAGTATATGTACATAGAATAATAATTTTTGATTCATTCTACTATCATTCCTAACCCCATACTACTTCTCCTCCCTTTACCTCCCCTCTACTTAATGAAAAGTAACTCTATTTTCCCTAGCCACACCTCTACCTTATTGTGAATTAGCATCCACATATCAGAGAAAACATTTGGCCTCTAGTTCGTGGTATTGGCTTATTTTTGCTTAGCATGATATTCTCCAGTTCCATCCATTTACAGGCAAATGGCATAATTCC